CAGCAGTGGAATTGGTGGACTTAGGTTAATGGTTGGACTCGACAATCTTAAAGGTCTTTTCCAACATAAACGATTGTGTAATTCAATCATCCTGAAACAACTATACCTCAAAAGCAGATCCTAAACTGAAATTCAGGTTTATGAGTCATTACTCTGAAGTGACATCAATGCATACATTCAGAACACAGAGGGAGGTAAAGCACATGTATTCATCAATTCTGGCTCTTCTAAGTCAGAGAGCATTCTGACAGGAGATCAAACAATGTTAGCATTTACTCAGTTAGAATTCTAAATAAATATAAAAAGAAAATTTAATTCATCTAATGATCTTCTTAGTGCATCAAAGTTCACTTCAATCTACTCCTTTATTGTCATACTTATTATGAATTTGAACTTAATGTTTACCCAATTTTTTAATTTTTTTTTTTCTAAAAAGCAATGGCATCATCAATTCTTTCTAAGTTAGGAACTGCAGGTATTCAAACTGTTTCTGGTTCTGAAATAAACTTCTCTATGACAGCATAAAACTGTGTATGTGCTAATTTCACTGCCAAGAACCAAGGTAAGTTATGCTCCACAAGCCATGTTGCTGTAGGTAAATTAATTCCAGAATATAAAGTTACTTATTAAAAAATTAGCTCAGGTATCCCTAGGCTGCAGGTTGTAGCACAGTTACAATTCAGTCTGAGTTGAAGCTTTACCTGCCAACATACTACAACTGTTACAAAACAATGAGATAGTCCAAACACAAATTATATAGCATTAAGATAGTGAAGACTGGTTGGTTAGTAGTGGTACAGGGAAGGGAGAAACTACTGAGGATGTTTATGCTTTTCTAAACAGAAAATAAAATTTCAATCAAAAGCTGCTTTAGAGAATGAGAATTAATGGTCATTCATTTATGCCACTTACAAATAAAACAATACAGAAGCTGAAATCTCCACTATGTCACATTACCTTATACAACTGTAGTGTTTAAAAGTGCTGGCAGCTTTCTGGCATTCCAAGCACAGCTGAATAGCTCCTGGATAGTCCTCTTCCTTTAGGATAAAATAGAATGGAGAGCTAATTTGGCTTTTGACGCAAACACTGTGACACCCATTTTTGCTTGCATGCTTATGCATAAACATTAAAAACAAAATATTCTGTCTCTTACATCTATACAATAATAGTTAAAGGAAATGAGTGAGGGTCTGGTGTAGAACTTAATGTGCAAGCAGTTTAAAATCAGAAACAGACAACATGTTAGCAACATCTGAAAACACTACCTATTACATTATCTTAGGCAAATGACTTGCTGTTTCCTTACACATTCATACAAACATATCAGAAACTTTTTGTTAAAGAAGAACTAACATCTTCCCAGTTATTTTCACACCTTTGTTAGTACACTGTGTCCTATGCACAAGCAAGGGAAGAATTAAGTTCAAGCACAGGGAAGCTGTTGCTATAGTTTACAAAAACCTAAAAAGAGACAAGAGACATGCTCCAGCATTACACTCAAAAAAACACCATTTAATTTGACATACTTTAGAGCTAACTAGAAATGAGCTTAAAGACAACTGGCCCACACAAGGCCTCAGGACAAAAAGGACATAAAATGGAGAAGGAAAAGAGGAAAAAAAATATGGAGATATTGTCCTTATTTACAAGAAGAATATACAACATGTAGAGAGATCAAACAGAATGTACATGAAGACACCGGGACAAACCCAAAACAAAAACATACACAGAGAAATGTAAAATCCCAGGATACTGCCAGCAGAGCACAGGCAGTGCCTTGGGTATAATAATTTATTTGATCTTGTATTAAACTGAGGCCACAAAGACCCTTGGAGGAAGGAAAACCCTCTCTAATAGCTAAGAGCTTCCCTTTCTTGTCTGTTACATTATGTGCTTCAGAGACCTCAATGCAAAGTTGTTGTGGTGAACAGAGCCCGCC